CACTGCTTCAAACCTCACATCCAGCCTCCAGAAGCCAGATGCTTCCTTCTCTAGTCACACTAAAAGCCTTCAGGGAGAGCAGGAATTGTCCTACCTTGCATGTATGCCTCTATTTGCCGAATTAGCTCATAAGACTTGGATCGGTCCAGAAGTGTACGAATAGCCGGAAGAGGGTCCAGGATAATGGTTTCTGGATGAGCATCAATATACTCCTGCAACAAAAATATATAACAAAACGAAAAAAAAAGTGGCATTAGGTTGGCTGAAGAGTGTGGAAAAACAAGGAGATGAGGAAGGCAAGAGACGATGTTAAAAAGTTCAGTATCCAGCTTCTTTTCAAGGGGAGGCAAATGGACATTGGCAATGCAGGAATTCACCAGACATCCAGACACTGACATTTGAAACAAACACAAATGTGACAGCTAACTGTTCTAGGATAGCAAATTTCTCCTGCAGACTCACCATCAGCAATGAAACCTGTGCTGCAACCACATCAACTCAGAAGGGAGCCAATGGCCACGTGCCACAGTAACAGCTGTGAGCAGGGCTGAGAAAAGCAATTAGAAGAAGAAAGATGACACACTGCTATCTTGGGGTCAGCCTTGCATTGTATTACTGCCCGTGAACATCACAACTGTCTGAACTAAGCTCAGAACTACATCTGGGTTCTTTAATTTTGTTATTATTGCTGTCCTCTAGCTGGGCTGAAGACACTGTTAAGAGCTGGCTGATAGGGCTGGAATTTTTTTTTGGCAGAGCTGAAGAGATTACTGCTTCACTGTGTCTTCATTGAGTTTTGAAAGCATCTATCTTGCTACTTCTCTAAGTTCATACTCTCCTCTCCTGACTACAAGAACAAAGCAAAGTTAATATTCTCATGGATCTTCATCTCGGGAACTCAATTCCCCATTCCCTGAGGTCATGACTGCACTCCTGTATCTTGGCCATGAACACAGACACAGTTGCCAAGCATTGCCCTTGCAAACCCAACAAAGCTTCCTTCTGTTTCTCAGAACAGAAGCTGAGTTCCTTCATCATCGCCCCAACCTGGCCCCATAAAGCCAACGGGACAAACAAGCATCCATCTTACCCTGTCCAAAACCAGAAAAAGTTAGCACCTGCCTTTGTTTTACCCAACTTCCCAAAGCCATCTTTATGTTTCCACTCATTTCTTTAAATCCATTCATGCAAATGCATGGTAAACGCTCCTGCAAGTAATGGACTTCCATGAAGTCCTACTTCCTGTTCCCAGCAAGTGATTTCGCTCCAGACGCTGTCCGGGAAGCAGACTTCCTCCCCCAACTCCTCCTAGCCCTGGCAAACTGTTGCTTTCTGCTGACTACATAGTCTGAACTGATGGCTTGCTAAAAGGGGATTATTCTTTGGAGGCTAAGAGGATCCAGCATTGGGGTTTAATGAACCCACTGCATCACCCACAGCACACAAGCAGCTTTCCTTCACAGGGCGGGAGGCACCCTTCAGTGGCAATACATGTGTCTGACGTACTTAATAATCCCTGCAGAACACAAAGAGTGAATTTCCCAAAGACATGCTCAACCTTGCTGCCACTTGGGAAAAGCAAGGGACAGAGCCTTTTGCACAGTCAGTCATCAAGACTGCCAGACCCAGCTGTTGTCTCATCCCTGCAAGTATGGCCTGGATAAAAAGGCTCTTTGGCTTACTGGAGCAGAAGCTGGGTTCATTTCAAGTCATTAATACCCACAACATAGAGAAAACAGTTTTCGTGAGGCTCCTGCCCCCAATGCTTCCAGAGTACTCCAGTAGAGCAGTCAGCTTTAAAAAAAAATATATCTCTTCTGTATTTGAAAGAGATAGAGTAACTTGTTACCTAATGCATCTTAAACACCTATGTATGTCTATGCATACGTGCCCCTTTACGCAGAAGCTAAAAGACACCTTGTGGAGGTAGGATGATCCAGTGATTAGGGCATTAGCTTAAACTTGCTGATCATGAAACTGTACTCGAGTATCTCAACACATCTAAAGCATAACAAGATAGCTCTTTTAGCCTCTCTATGCCTCACCTCAAAAGATAGGGAGCTACCATAGTGTGCGCCTTCATGAGCGCACCAAGAAGATGAGGACATTTCAGACAGCCAATACCCTGGTGGGGTGGTGGGTAAGTACGCATCGTAACCAGACTGAACAAGCCACAGCTCCAAAACTCTGCAGAGATGTGACAACAAACGCCCTGCAACGTTGCTGATCCATGTACTAGCTCTTCCTTCCACGCTGTGGTGGCCACCCCTCTGCCTCGACTGGTGTCTGGTTCCACCCTGAATTCAAGCTCCCCATACTTCCATCCTTGCCCAGCCCCAACTCTGTACATACTAATCCTTCCCCTCACACACACATTCGTCCTGCCTGTGGCCTCCATCCCCTTCAAGGAGGGAATGATTTTTCCCTTTCCTAGCTTCTTGTGCACCTTCCCAAATCTTCCTGACACTCACCTTGGCATTGAGGACTGCCCTCACTTCCTTATGTTAGGTGTGTTCCACTCGTTATTTTTGCTCATGTTGCTCTAAGTATTTCCAGAGGGAGCCTTGCTTTTTTATCCTTTCTGTAAGGAAGTTCACAGTGCTTTATTTATAATAATAGCTCTAAACCGTATTAAAAGATCATCCAAGCAGCAAGTTTGACATGGCATAACAGAGTTTAACAGGAATGAAGGCAGCATCCCGAGGCCATTCTACACAAGGCAAGGCATCAACAGAAGCGAGCATCTTAGCTGACTTTTCCGGTGACTGATTTCTCATCCTGTTGCCTTAAGGAGCCTCCAAAAAGCTCTGTAAGGCAAACATGAAATGACCTACAAAGATGAAGGAGGTGGGGGCTGTTTTCCAGCAGCCACTTAGAGTCTGGAGGACTTAAACTACTCTAATATCAAGAATAGCACTGAGTGCGAGGCAAAAGCCCCTTCACACGCACACAGAGGAGCCTGAACATGAGCTTTCTCAGAAAAAGGAAATTTCTCGGCATCGAACCTGTTTCAGCTACTATTCTCCAGCTCTTCTCCATTTACAGGCTTAGGTACTTGGACAGCCAGAGGGCACAGGAATGGCAAAACTCAGAGACTGTCAGCAAGGCAGTGAAGATCTGCATCATCTGAGTAAAGGAAAGGACTGGGACCTGACGTAAGTGTCTCCTAGAGTTAATCTGGGGACGGGCTACAGATCTCTTATTTTAACTGAATCCAGAAACCGCCTCCCCTTTGAAGCGAAGGAGTCTGTCAATGCAGAGCAAGGTCAACGCATTCGTATAGTGCATCTCTATTTGAACAGCCTGTGGTTAACTGCTGAAGCTGTTTAGGGGACAAGAGCATCAAAATGCACTCAAGTGCTTATAATGCTGCATCTCTTCTCACGGTACTGTGTGTCGCTTGGATTTCCATCACAAAGCATTAACTCTGCATTCAAAAACAGAACCATCAAGTCGCACCAGGATCCCCAAAGCAAATCACCCAGGCTCCCCTTGGGCATGCCACCACTTTCCCAGTCTTCCACACCAGTACATCACCAACACATGCAAAAGAAAGAGTTCCAATACCTATGCACAGAAGACTACTTAAAATAAATAACTGAAAAATCCAAACCTTAACACCAATTCCCCACAACAGGAAATTACAATAAGAAAAATCAATTTTGTTAGCTTCACAGGAACAATTATGGTAGCCGATGTGAAACCTTTTACAAACTTTGATTCTTTACTAGGAACTGCTGCACACTCAGGTGTCACATTTTACTGAATATATAACTGTGAAGACCACTTAACAGATTGGAAAACTCTTGATGTAGCCTAAGTAGGAGCACTCTTCCCATAGCACAGAATGGCTCTGCTATCAGAAATACGGATCCGGATGACCCTGAAGGGTTTGTGTCTAAGAATTTTGATAGCAGATGAGCTATTGTAGACATGAACTTGAAAATGGAGCAGTTGCAGAAGCAAAAGAGAAACACTGAAGCCAAGAGATGGCTTTCAGTACAGCACAACTTTTCAACTTTGAACATTCAAATCTTCTCTGGTCATTCCAACAAAACAACTGTGCACTCTCCTTTGGTGGGTTTACCAAAGACTGGTATCCAACAGCAGATTCCAACAGCCAAGGCAACAATCTGGAGGATATTCAGGCTTTCCAACAATATTTTGAAAGGGCTCTGTCCTTGGGCTGCAGTTCAGCTTGACCCAGACAACATCTATGTTTCCCTCTTCCTAATCTTTGACATAATAAAAGCAAACAAGAAGAAACAAGGACTTTTAGCAGATCTTCCTTTGTTTGTATTCCAGGCTTGGCATTCAGTCATGCTCTGTACCAGCCCTGTTACTGGCAGAAGGCCAGCAATGAAACTTGAAATCAAAGAGAGACCAAGTATTTCATGTTCCCTATTAAATACCTCTGAATATAACCCAGAGATTTAAAAAAAAAAACCTTTTTTTTTTTTTTTAGAAGTCTGTGTAGAGATGAGGACAGAGTTGTCATTTTACCCAAAAGGGTAGCTAATGCTTTTTTTTATATGTATATATTTTAACAGAAAGTTGATACAGTATCTACTGCAAATATTAGGTCATTAGATGATAAGAGAGAGTCACTGACTCATTGACTTGATTTTATTACTAAGTAATAAAACTTCTATAATCTTTTGTTTAAACAGAAGTTCCGTATTAAAAAAAAGTTAGCAAATGGAACAATAACAGCATTTGGATTTGTGTTTTCCCCATGTACAGAAACATGAAGATGACCGCTTGTAACAACAGATCAACATCTTCCAAGGGGGAAGCAGAGAAAAGACACACACAAGCTTGTCTAAAGAGTATGCATCGGATTCAGACTTAAAAGTTCCTTTTTGTTGTCTTGGGCTGTGATGGTCTCTTTTCACAAACACCTCCTTCCAAAAGAAAAGGTATAGGCAAGTTGGATCTTGAACAAACACTCATCTCAAAATCGATTGTCTCTAAATCTAAAAGAGATTCCTGCAGCAGCTGGGAGGGATGAGGGGGCGGCAAGGGGAAGTGGGGACGGAGCTTTTCTCTTACATTTCTGTTCACTGTACATCTCAAAGCAACTGAGTACTCAGCTTCCCTGTCTTGCCTTCAAAAGTCCACCACTGCTTCATCTTGCAAATACCTACACAGAAAGCTACCCTACCAGTTAGCACCTGAATGACGAATTTTTAGTTAATTTTGCCTGCTTATG